GCCAGTTGCCATTCATTCCCACTCACTGTCTCCCTCTCTCTCTCTCTCTCTCTGTCTGTGTTTAGCTATTGCTGTCTCTGTTTCACTTAATTGCTCAAATCTCCATACACAATTTAATATTCATACTTGCGTTTCATTCGTGCTGCTAATGTTGGGTCCGTCGAATTCATGACTAGCATAGCAGCAGCAGGAGCAGAGGCAGCAGCAGGAGCAGAGGCAGCAGCAGGAGCAGAGGCAGCAGCAGCAGCAACAACAAATCAAGTTGAGGATTACAAATCGGAATCCTTTTTTAATTGAAATATACATCGCATATACATATACGTATTTCTATGGCCCGTGCTGTGCTCTGGCCTGCTCATTAATGCGCCGAGCTGCTGCTGTCGAGCTCAATTGATGCGTTTTTGATTGCAAATTTGTCGCAAACATATCGCTTGAGTGCACCAGCAGCGCAGCAGCAGCCCCCACCCCACTACCTCCACTGTCTGCCTGTCTATGCGCATTACTCATACGCCGCGTGGGTCGCCGAAGGCAAAAAGCAACTTAAATTCTACTTACAGCCAAATATGTAATAAATACGAGCTTAAAAAAGTTTATCTATATTTCAACCACACGCAGTCATGTGCCTTACACACGCACACATACACACACGCACAGTATGTATGCTGTATGTGCGTACTGAGTAGCTACTGCTGCCTGTTTTTTTGCTGTCGCCTGGCAAAAGTTTTTGAAAGATGTGCCATCCCCCAATCCGGCACTTAGACAACTCGCACGTCCAGCTACCAAAAAGTTCATTTCGCTTCGCTTCGCTCCTCTCTATTTTTTTTTTGTCTCTTCCTTTCATTCAGCCAAAAAAAATATATGTATATACATATATAAAATATATATGTATAAGTAAGTGTAGAGTGTGTGGAGTTGAGTGTAAGTGTACTTTGCAAGAGCTACAGCCGCAGCTGCTGCCCCGCTGAGCTTTCATTAAATGCGACTATTCAGCGGCTGCAGCTTTAAAATTTCCGCCATCCTTTTTTTTTTTTTTTTGCCCCTCTGTCAATATGCCCAAAAAGCCAAGCCGGACGCCGTATAAATTGTCGCAATCAAGCGCTGCATAAAGTGTCTCTCGCTCTCGCTCTCAACACGAAAAAAAAAAATAGAAAAAGAAAGCCGCAGGAAAGCGACAGCAAGATGAATTACTGTAAATTATCCAGTTAAAAGTTTTCGCTGAAGGACTTTCTAGTCGCTCGAGTGGCCGCCGCTGCGGCTGCTGCTGCTGCTGCGCTGCTGCTGCTGCGGCTGCCGTCGCTGATTTAACGAGACGAAAAGGTAAAAAGTTGAGCAAAAATCAATTTCGCCACAATTTCACGCTAGTTTGCATAAAAGTAAGTGCTGGCTGGGCATACCTCCCGAGGCAGTGGAATGTACGTTAGATAAGTCTGAGCTGCTCTTGAATGCATATGCAAAGGGAATTTTTAGGTAATTTTTGTAATTTTTTATTTTTGTTAGTCCAAAAGGCAATACGGAAATTGTTTTAAGAAAGGGCTAAACTTTAAATACCTAAATATTCCAAAATTTAAAATCACTTGTAAAGTTTGCTGCTATCGATTAGCGATCTATTGTGACTTGGGCAGTTTTTGGCCATTGTATTTAGTTATTAAAACTTGTTTAATATATAAATGAAAATTAGCATATTATTGAGCTCGGCTGCTTCAAGAATATCATATTATGTAAATTATTTAGATGAATATAAAAATACCAAATTTATGGCCTTTTTGAGCATAGGCATAGGCTTCAAAAATACCACAATATGTAAACTATAGAAATGAATATAAAAATACCAAATTTAAGGAATTTTTAAGCTTTACTAAAGCATATAGTTAACTTTTTGCCCATTTATATATTTTTTAGAAATTTAACAAAATTATTTACGTGTAAAATGAATAAGCATATGTGACGTCTATATCCATTTGATCGCCTGCCATTCCAATTTATTCCTTTTCTACTAATTCAAATTTCCTGTGTGCATACTTTGCACTTTTCGCTCTTTCTGCCTGCTCTTCGCTATTCGCATTCTCTTCGTCCAAGACAGTTCATAAAGAGCCTGTGCGTAGAGTCTATCCCGCTCACACGCTCACAGCAATATTCAACACTACGTTTCGCTGCAGCTTTTTTGCCTCCTTCTTCCTTTCGGAGCGATAATTAGCGCAGAGCAGCGAGCAATGAGAGCAGCGCAGCTCGAACGCAAACGCAATCGGATAATGTTTTGTATAGCTCTCAGATTTAGCAAGCGCCGATTGAGGTGGAGTCGGCCGAACTAGACCAGTTTTAGCAGACTTTACTCATTGTTTTAGAATATTACATCAGATTATTAAATTCCAGTGATGATATTTTATTGCTATAGGTTTAGCTTACCATTTAACCAGTTTAACTCTATCCCAAGCATCCTCATTCCACAATACTTTTATACTTTAAGTACTCCAGTGACTCCCAGGTTAGTTTGATAGTCGTTTACAGTAGAAAATGTCTCTGGTAGCAGCTGTCAGAGCTGGTTAAACATATGTGTGGATAGTTAGACTAGCTGCATATATGAGCACATGTAGTTGCTGCAGCACCTGAGCTCTCTGCGCTCTGCCTGTCAATGGCTGCTTTTAAGTTTCATCTCGTTTCGCCCATTGCCCACATTCAACGGGGCCGCAACTCAAGCGAATATATATACATTTTTCTGTTTATATATATTTTTTCGGTCGGCAACATTCATTAATGTCAGGAACAGCAGCAGCAGCAGCCGCCACAGCCGCAGCGACTTCGTCTAGGATACAGCCACATAATGTGCCGCAAAACGCATAAAACACACGCGCACACACACACACACCGACACACACACAGACAAGTGTCGTCGTCGTCGTCGCCTGCCCGCTGTTTTATATAACGATTACGATAATGAAGCGACGCCGTTTTCAGCGGGCGCAGCATTTTTATACACAAAATGAGCCAAATGAATGGCAGCCACTAGCCCAGCGCACAGAGCGAGACAGAGTGAGTGTGAGAGAGAGAGGCAGAGAGAGAGACAGAGCGCGTCCGATTGGGCTTACTCCAAGGATCTAGTAGTAAGCAACGTCTGTCGTTGATGGCTTTTTGAAGTTCTCAACGCAGGCGGCGCAATGATTGGGGATTATGACGAATTAATGAATTCAGATTTAAATAAAATTACGCAGCGTGCCAGTGGCAGTGCCACGCCCACTTGTGGCCATGCACATTTAACATTTTGCTAATAGAATTAAAGTTTGCCGCCCGCCCCTCCGCCCACGCGGCAACAGCAGCAACATAATGAGCCAGCGACCCAGTCTGGCGTAATTATGATGGGCCTGGCCCCTGCATTGATAGCAGCGGCAGCAGCAGCGGCAGCAGCAGCGGCAGCGGCAGCAACAGTCGTCAGCAACTGTTGCCCGCTTAATTAACAACAACAATTGCAATGGTGCAATTGCAGTTGCCACTGTGGCAGGTAATTTTTGTCTCATTTGGGGCCGGGGCAACCTTCGCCTGATGGTTTTGTACGCGCATTGTTGCGGCATTGTTGTTGATTGTTAATTGAAAAACAATGTTGTGCGCTCTCACTCAGTCATGACTCCCCCTCTGCCCTTCTCTCTCTCTCTCTCTCTCTCTCACTCACTCACTCCCTCTGTCTCTGTCTCTGTCTTTGTATTTCTGGTGCACGTTAAATGCAACTGCAAGTTGCATCGAGCTCGAGGTTCAACTGCGGCTTAATTAATTTTTATAAGGCTGTTGTTATCGTCGTCAATTGGGTTGTTGCTGCACTTTAATTACAATGCACAGAAGTTGCCTTAAGCTCATTGATTAAACTTAATCAATGGCCATAAGCAGCGCGAACAGGATCGCTGCTGGCACGGGGCACGGGGCACGGGGCATGCGGCAAGCGACATGCGGCATGCGGCAGGCAGCTCATTAATGTTCGCTCGCAACTTTGACAGCCAAAGTGCAATTAGCGTCAGGGCCAAAGCGAAAAGTTGTCATATTATGATATTGAATAGCAGCAAGATGAAAGACGCAGCTACCAAGGAATGGTAATCGAGTAAGGAGCGAGCGAGACAGCCTGCGTGTGTGGGCGTGCTGGTGTGCGTGTGTGGGTGTGAGTGCGGCAACAACATGTCAAAAGAGCTGCAAGAGCATAAAAAGTGCCTGAGCTCAAGTAATTCAATAGCCAAGCAAGATTTAATTAATAATTTATATAGTATATACAAAGGTAGCCGCAGCTCTGATTAACGAAGCTGTAAAAGCGCGAAAAGGTTGCATATCCTTGGCAGATCCTTTACGCATTCCCGTTACAACTGGGCGAAGAGTGGATCTTTGGAGTCTCAGTTCTCTTAATTAACTCCTTAAAAGCATCTCGGCTAATGTCTTAGCCAGGCTACAGTTTGGCCAAGCGATTATAAAACAATTAACGTCCAACTCTGGCTCAACTCTATTTAGCAATAAAAATCTATCAATTAGCGTATGATAATAAAGCAGCATGTCTATATCTATCTATCTATCTATCTATATATACATGTATATATGGGAAAGTTAAAGAAAGTCTGCTGCAGTTCATCATTGAAGGCAAACTGGGCAAAGTCTGTTCGCTTAGTTAACTGCATAGTTTGGGCTGGTTTTGTCAGTCAGTCAACTATCATTATAAGTTGCCCTTTGCGTTTGCGTCATAATGGCCAAAAACTTTTGCCCAGAGCTCTGTCAGTGTGTCTCTGTGTGCTAGTGTGTGTGTGTGTGTGTGTGTTGGCTATTGTTGGCGCTCAGTTTTGCAATTAGCAACAGTTTTGTCTGCTCAGTGCTTTTAGTCGGCCATTAATTGAGTTGCGCGCACTGAAAACTTACAAAAAATAAGAAAAGTGAGAGATGGAGAGAGAGAGAGAGAGAGAGTGAAATACTGAAAAACAAAGAACAAAAATTTGCCACAACTTTTTATTCATTTTCTTCTCGCATTTTTCTATTTGCAGATCGAGGACGCAATGCTGATGTTTGACAAGCAGACCAATCGGCACAGAGGTGAGCACTGAAACGATAAACGATAAACGATAAACGATAAGCGATAAACGATAAGCGTTAATAATACAGTTCGTTATAATAACACACATTGACTAAATTCCGGCTCTTGTTGTTGTTGTTGTCGATATATTCTTTCATTTTTTGTGCTGCTTCGTTTCCGGGCTTTAACGATGCAGAAGAAGACGGACAAGCCGGAAGTGCGAACGCTTCTGCTTTTCCATTTTTCCTCTTTTTGTTGTTGCGCATTGCGCTGTCAATGCATGACAGATACCGTTACAGATAGCCGAGCACAAACAGAGCTAATACCGTTTCATTTTGGTGTGTGTAAAAACGTGGCATTAAAATGGCCAGGCTAACAGCATGAGAGATAGAGAGAGAGAGAGCGAGCGAGCTAGTCGTAAAGATTACCTGTGCAATGCAACCGGATATAGCCCGCACATACAGCTCAGCGGGCGACTGAGTGGGCGGGGCTGGGACTGAGACTCGCTGTGCGGCAAAGGCTTAAATCTCCAGCGCACATCCGCTACACGAACTTGTAGCGCACGAGTGAGTCCGTTCTCTTCTTTTTCGGCCATGGGCGTAGGCGTGGGCGTGGGCGGGTCATGGGCCGTGGGCCGTGGGCCGTGCCGTGCCATGCCGGGTCGGCTGCTTGTCGTTGTCAATTTTGCTTATTAAAGTTTTAAATGACGCGCCGAAAATTCGCATTGCGAACGCCCATTGACATGTGACAGGAGGCGCAGCAGCTGGAGCAGCAGCGGCAGCTTCCACCTGAGACAGGCAAGGCACATTAAGATTGATGTGTCCAGACAGAGTGGTTGAGAGAGGGGGAGAGAGAGAGAGACATAGTCGGCTAACAATGTCGTGGCCCAAAAGTAATTAGCCGCTCACACACACACAGACATCCAGACAGCTGGACACTCGTGCATGCATCAATAGTTGCCTCTATAGTTGCTCTACACACACACACACCCAGACGGAGCATGAACAATTCACACACACACACACAGAGAGAGAGAGAGAGAGAGAGAGAGAGTTCATGGCTGGCCTTGTTAACTTGCTGGCCTCATGTAGTTGGAGCCGCTGTCCAACCAAATTACGCACACGGGAATAAGGAAACATGATTTTTGCTTGTATGCGGCCCATAAAAAATTGTTGCATACTTCGGGGCGCCGCCAAGAGATAAGCAGCGGCAGAGGCAGCGGCAGAGGCGAACGCGACCCACAGAACATTTCGTTTAATTGGACGCTGGAGTACCGAATGCTGCATCATGATGCAGTCATATGAAACACACAAAAACTCAACTCAGAATCAGCAGGAGGAGCAGCAGGAACAGCCGGAGCAGGAGCAGCGCAGCCTTTGCAAATGGCAATAAAAGCAAGCAGCGCCCCATTTAAAAATTATGTGTTGCTGCAGCTGAACAATGAGAGAGGAAGAGAGAGAGCAAGAGGCGGAGGGTAGCAAGGGGGCAAGAAGAGCGAGCGGAAGAGGCAGCGCAGCGCAACAACTGTTCAGAGATAATGCATGAGTAAGATATAAAACTGCAAATTGCCAACGATGCAGATTTATTCGAGTATATAAAGCAGAAGACAGCGCCGAGAGAGGCAATAATATTATTAATTCTTTGGCCCGATTGCCAAGCGCAATTCCCATTTCAAATTAAAATCAAATAAATAGCTATTTACAGAGCAGCAGCAGCAGAAGCAGCAGTAAAATTTCCAGGAATTATTTTCAGTAAAAAAAGAAACAGTTTGAAAAATCCCATTCAAGAGCTAAAACTTCAGTTGCTTTGAGCTCAGATCGAGAAATGAATTTAGTAAATGAAATTTTCATGTAAATCTCGCATGTGTAACAAAAACTGAGAATTCTGAGCGAACTCTGGCTGAGCTGAAGCAATTTTACAGCTCAATGTTTATAGTATAACAAATTGATTTCATTTTTAATTCAGTCAACATTTGCTTTTTCCATTCGATATACTATAATTCATAATCCACTTGGCGAGCTCGCTGCAATTTTACAACAATTTGCCGAAGTGAAAGCGATTTGTCCTTGATGCGTGCACAATATTGATGAAGTATTTAAATATCCTTTTTATTTTTTATTACTTCCAATTCGAACTCAAACTCAAACTCAAATGCAAATTCAAACTCAGATAATAGCATGACAGCTAAATTGTCAGTGGTTTTCTGGGTTTCCTCTTCTTCTTCTTCTGCTTCTTTTTTCTTTGGGTTAAAAATAGCATTTAATGTGCATAGCCTCGTTTTAGTGATTTCCCCATGAATATGACATGGAAGACGTTAGACTGCTATTGACATGACCGGCAGGACACGGCAATTTCGCAAATTACAATTGCCTAGGTCGATCAGAGTACATATGATGAAATATGCAGGCGTTGTTAGTTAGCCAAGACCAACTGCCCAACTTCACAGGCCACACTCAGCGACTGGCCCAGCGACCCAGCCACGGACAGCAACATGGCCAACAGCCAATCGAGACGCCCCCACTCGAGGCGACGCTTTCGCTGCGAGTCAATAGAAAATGTGTGTCGTTAATCAAAGGGTATTAGTTGTAGCTCTAGCCACAATGACGACGATGGCGATGGCGACTTTTTATACAAGCCGAACGATGGACGACCTTTTGCCATGAGTTGGACTAGCAGACGCTCCAGGGCTGCTCCGACTGCTCCGGCTGCTCCGACTGCCCGCCCGGTAGCTGCCTACTGGCACTTGCGATATGCCTGTAATTGCATTTTATCGATCCAAGTGGAGAAGGTGCCCATCTTCTAGCGTACATGTGGCAATTGCCAGCGTGTGCACACACACACACACACACAGACACAGACACACAGATACGCTGACGTTCAGAAACAGGACAGCAACTATAATAAAGAAGCGAGCGAAAGGAAAAAAACAAAAATTGAAGCAGGCGAGCAAAGACGTTGCTCGGGCTACACGGCAGCAAGTTTGTTACTCATTCATAAATCATGTGTGCAGCGACAGACGGACGGACAGCAAGACAGTCGACACAGACAGACAACACAGAGTTTGAGAGAGGGAGAGAATGTGAGAGAGGGAGAGAAGCGTACAGCTAGTGAAGCCTGGTCACTGCAACTTGCAGCGACGTTTTTCCAACTAACGGCTGCAGTTGGCCCCAAAAAAAAAAAATTAAATTAAAAAAAATAAAAAATAAAACTAGAAAAAGTAAAACGTAAGCGATTTGACGGGGGCCTCGTGGCAGGGCAGCAACGAAAACTATATGAATATGCCATAAAACAATATAGGCTGGCACACTAACATCTGCAACAACAGCAGCAACAACAAGAACAGCTGCAAGTACAGTAGTCACTAGTAGATGGGCAACTCGGGTAAAGGAACATAGAAGAGGCAAGGATAGACAGAAACTTTGCTTGGTTTGGCAATGGGAATAGGAAAAGAGTTTGAAACTTATTGATATGACTGCAGGATATAGCTGAAGTGGACTGTGCTGGATCGAGTTATCGATAAAAGATGATAAGGAGATAATATTAAGTTGTGATATACTTGAAGTGGATTGTGGAAAATGCAATAATAGATAACGGAATCATCACTTGAAGTGAGTTTTTTTAACTCAATTTTACAATAGATACAAAAGTATTGACAGATACGAAAGTATATTCAGTTATCGATAGATCTTCTTTATATAAACGTATATGTATAAGGGCTATGACAGGAATTAGCTATAGAAAAAATAGTATGTATTTAGGAAAGAGTCAGTTTTCTCAAGACGATAGTTAGAAAGATAGAAAAATCTATGGACATTGGGCTATCCACTTGAACGAGATTCAGTAAAGACTGCGGAGAAACATAATTACAAAAACGAGCATAGGATCATAGTATAAGAGTAGAGTATAAGAGGATAAGCATATAGAGACTATAAGAATAATAATAATACAAAATAATAATATACGCTAAGAATGTTATTCATAGATACCAGAGGTGGCTAGATGAACTGCTTAAACTAGATGCTTAAATATTTTATCTTAAATGTGATTACAAAACTCGAGCAAAGCTGAGCTCAGTTTGCAATCGAAACCGACAAATGAAAATGTTTAAGAATCATATTTCTATGCGCATTGCTGGCTATTGAGTTGGAAATGTTGCACTTGGCACAATTACTACTGTAGCTGATATGGGATACACGACAGCAGCGGCCTGAACTATGCTATGAATTTCATTTGGCAAGCCAAGGACATGCACAACGTGCGCCTAAACAGCCGGTTGAGGAGGATGAATGGGGCGATGGGGCGTTGGGCTGCAGTCGAGGTGTTAGTGCGGCTGCGGGTGTGGTGCGGTGGGTGAGTGGGTGAGTGGAGCAATAGCAGTTGGCGGTTGGCAGTTGGCAGTTGGCGTCGTCAGCCGCTACTAATATTAAAATTGAAAATTTTGTAATTTTTCTCGTTTTTTGGCAAGCCGGCGCTGCGCAGTCATAACAGCTGGCAGGCAAACTGCCACGCCCCCACCCCGCACTCCAGGCAGTGTCTCCACATGTGTGCACACACAGAGCTACATATGAGAGTGTGTGCATATATGGCATATCTGTGGCCGTTACTTGGCAATAACATGCATGAGTGTGCAATTTGTGCAGTTGGCAAAGGCATCGTCAGGCACTCGGCGTCCTGCGGGAAATTTTCGACAGGTAAAAATGGCAGCAAAGCAGCCGCAGAATTAACTAGCAGAGCGACTCCAGCCGCCGGGGCATTTTTCATGCCAGCCGCGCCGCATTTGTTGCCGGCAGATACATTTTTGATTGAGTTACGTGTGGGCGGCCAATGGGGCATGGCATGGCGTGGCGTGGCACGAGGCGAAGATGGCGAACAGAGCAGGAGGCCAAAAAAGAAATTGCTGGCTTCATTTGCTAGCCACTCGGTCGACGCTCGACTGATTTATGAGTGGTCAGAGGCAGCAGGAGCAGAGCCAGCCCAAAAAGGAGCCCCCAGCATGAGCGGAGGCGCAGCGCCTGTGGCAGCAGCTACCAAAGTGGCAACAACTACGTGCAACTTGCAACGTGCGCTAATTTTATATAATTAAAACAAACACAAACACAGCAGGCACAGAGTGACTGGGAAGGAGAGAGAGAGGGAGAGGGAGGGAGAAAGAGTAAGTGGGCGAGAGAACGCTGAAGACTCTCAACGCCCACAAGTTGTTGCAAGCAGAGCTATAGAGAGAGTGGGAAGGAGGGAGCAAGAAAGAGGGGGGGACTGGAGAGTTAAAGGAAAGCAGCACATGTCGCTAATAAGCCTGCGTGTTTACTGTTACTTGTTTCAACTAATTTGTCAGCTACGCCCAACGCCCGCATGCCAAGGCAAACACACACACACACCCACACACACACACAAACACAGACAGAGACAGAAAGCAAAGTCGATGTTGGAAGGCGTGGCATGAGGTGTCTGCACTTGGCCTTGCTAATTGCACAGTCCTTTTGGCCCGGCCAAATCTCAGACAATTGCGCTAATTGAAAAACCTCGATAAGACCAAAACGAAAGCTAAAAGCAACAGCACACACACACACACACAGACATCGACACACGCACACTAACGAAATGGAGCTTCACTAAAAACATTTTGGCTCTTTGTTGTCCTTGGGTTTCCTTTTTCATGTAAACAAGCATTACAAGCTAGGTTAAGTTAGCATACGAACTTGAGATGTTCCACAAATATATAGCCAGAACATCGTAAACAACAATCGATAGCTAATTCTCGATAGTTATGTGTATTTTATGGCATATCTAAAGAGTTTCTTTTCTAAAAGCTTTTCTTTTAGCTTAATATTACTGCTAAGCTATTTTTGATAGTTGCGATAATATCGATTTCCTGTCCATCACTAACTAGATCCACTCAATGAAGCCAACGATTATGAAAGGCTAGATAATGAAGCATATTATTCTTAGAGATACTTCTACACTGTACAAAAACTATTCGATCATCTCTATGCTATCGATTTCCAGAATATTCAATCTAAGAGCTTCGTCTATAATCGATCAACTTTTAGCTATAGCATTCAGAAGTTATGTTCTGTAATCGATCAATCGATATTTCGTTAGTGTCAGCCCTAGCCAACGCAGCATAGTTTTGAACTGGCATTTGGCCCACTCTCGCAGCAGCCTATAAAAGACTCTAAATTTTGGCAGAAATTAACAAAAAATTTCGGCATAGAAATTGAATGGGGCCGTTGAATGCGCTGAATCAGCAGCTCCATGCAGAGTAGTTAGTGGGGCGTTGTAGTAGTGTTGGTCAGGTGGGTGGGGGGATGGAGGTAAAAACTTCATGACAAACTTATTATGCACTCGGCTGGGTTATTTCCAGAGCTGGGCAAAGTTTGCTATGTAAACTGGGAGCTGGGCAGTGTTTGAATTACTCTGCCCAGGCGGCACTTGAGTCCCTGCCGCATATTGAGGTCAGCCAAGGGGCGAATGGAGGGAAAAAGCGAGAGGTGCAGAGAGCTGGATGGCGGGTGGAGCTGAAGTGGTGCAGAGAAGGAAAGACTGTGGCAGTGGCAGTGGCCTGGCTGGCTGGCTGGCTGTCTGGGCTCGTCTCAGTCTCGACACTTGAGTAAATTATTTAGCCGCTCGCACAAAAGCATATTTCGTTCAATTTTTGCAGCTCTTAAACTTGTTTGCCCATTCTTCAACTTGCCTTGACTCCCCGACTCAGTGACTCTCCGACTCACTGACTCTTTCGGCTATTTCAGCTCTCTTATTTGTTTGTTTGTTTGATTTTTTGCAGGTTTTGGCTTCGTTACATTTCAAAGCGAAGATGTGGTAGACAAAGTTTGTGAAATTCATTTCCATGAGATAAACAACAAAATGGTAAGTGGAGCGAAGCCAAATGAAACGAAATGCTGCGCCGTTATTCCATATATCTAATCCCGTTGCTCCCCAGGTCGAGTGCAAGAAGGCGCAGCCCAAGGAGGTAATGCTGCCGGCAAATCTGGCCAAGACACGGGCGGCCGGTCGTTCCGCTTACGGTGAGTTGGTAGTCTGGGGCAGCCACGCAAATCAGGCGACGGCGACGGCAACGGCGGCGGCGGCAACCGCGGCAGCTGCTGCTGCTGCTGCCGGCACGCCCGCCGCCGCCCTCTTGCCCAGTAGTTTAACCGCTGCCGCCACCGCGCTGCAGCAGCAACAACAGCAACAACAGCAACACCATTCACACCACCAGCAACAGCAACAACATCCACACACACATCCACACTCACACTCACACCATCATCATCACCACCAGCAGCTGCTGGGCGCCGCCGCAGCGGCCGCCTCGCTGCGCTACACGCCCTATCCGCTGCCCACGCACATTTCAGCCGCTGCCGTGGCCGCAGCGGCCGCAGCTGCCACGCAACAGCAGCAACAGCAGCAGCAGCAACAGCAGGCAGTTGCTGTGGCCGCCCAGCAGCATCAACAGCAGCAGCAGCAGCAACAGCAGCAGCAGCAATCGCTCGCACATGTTGTAGCCGCTGCCGCCGGCGCACCTTCGCTCTTGCCGCTGTCCAATGCCACGCCCGCCGGCGCCCCCTCGCTGCTGCAATACGCAGCTGCTGCGAATGCCACACAGAACAATGTCGCCTTGGCCAATTCGCTCTACGCGGACGCGGCTGCTGTGATGGGCTATAAGCGCCTGCTGGCCGCCGCCGCCGTCAGCAACGGCCTACGGGCCACGCCCACCCTGGGCGCGCTCACAGCGCCGGCAGCGGCGGCCGCAGCAGCCGCCCAGCAGGCGCAGCTGCGCCAAAATGCAGCCCTCGCCGCTGCCCACTATCCGCTCAGCGAACTGCTGGCGATGCCCGCCAGCCTCGAGACGGCAGCAGCTGCCTCTCTCTATCAGCTGCCCGGCATCTGACCGCCAAGGCCGCAGTGAGCCGCCGTCCCGCGCATATATTAGAGCAGGCCCAAGGGCAGGCGATTTCCAATCAGCTTGATGTCTGATACACACACGCACACACACACGCACACAAATTTGAACTCTCATTCCGTCTCAATGTCCAAAGCGCGAACGTGTCGCATTACTTATACTTAGGTCTTAGGTCTAAAACGTGTATGACTCTCCCTAGCCATGTATGCTCCATAAATATACATACGTACATACATACATACATATTTAAATGTACATACATATCTACATACATTACTGTGTCTAATCGATAGGACGCGCCGTATTATCGCGTATTATCGATATATGTTATATACTTAATTTCTAAAAACTTAAATTAGCGTAACGCATTCGTTTATTTCTCTAGAGCTTAAGAAATTTTGTTTTAAGATTTAGGCTTAACAAAAAAAATAAATTACTAAAAAAAAAAATGAACAAAATTAATTAATTAAGTGCAGTTCCTAGAGAGCTGCATAGATGTTTTTGCTCAACGTTTCGATTACCTATCGATGCTTAGTGTTAACTTAGCGACGAACGTAATATTATACATGTAACAGTAAAACGTAACTGTAAATCAAGCTGCGTGTAAGTCTTAGACATTGTACAACACTAGAACGTAAGAACTGTATATGAAAATATGATGAAAATTCAAATTGAGAAATAAGTAATGTCAAAAAAAGAAAAACAATGAAAAAGAAGAAGAAAAATCAATCACATTTATATTTCCAATACTTGTATAACTAACATTTACCAACTCTATATACAATATATACTCTATATATGTATATTTATTATATATTCCAACTTCAGCTCATACAAAAATAGCTCTTCAAAATGAATAACAACTGTAGAACCGAATATAATTAAAGTTTACAATATAATAATGTCATAAATTAGCAAATGTATCAAAATTAGCTTTTAAGTAAAGCCGCATTTAAGTAGGCAACAAATAAAGCCGACAGGCTTACGCACACACACACACACACACACACATAAGAATCTGTGTGTATGTGAGTGTTTGTGTGTCAAACATTTTAGTTAAACAATTTGAAAGTCGCAAACGTAGTGACCGAAGCTGGCATTAGATTGGCAGCTGCCTGTCTCTCTCAGTCTGTCCGTCCGTCCGTCTGTTCAATTTGAAGATTTCACAACACTGGTAAATTGACAATGTCAATTGAAGCGCAAAAGCCTCTCACAGAATTACCAGCTGTTGGCCAATTAATAACTGATGCATACACACCCACACATATACATTTATATATACATCTACTTAGACATTAATATTTGACTTAAACATAAACTTTAGCTATTGATTATATACATACATATATACATTTATTTATATATATATATATAAATGAAAACATTTACTTACTTGCTAAGCGCATTAAGCGCCTCAAGTTAACTGCTAGCTAATACTTGAATGTTTATGCTCGTTTAGCTGAGGTGAAAGAGGGTATATTGGGTTGGTCTGCCACTTTGTCCGAGTCTCTGAGCTCAAATATTAAGTATACGCCCAGTGAGTGCAGAACGTACTATGAAAATCCTGCTACAGTTTATCTGATAGCTAAACTTAAAAAGTGATAAGTGCATGCCCTTTAGGGGCGTGGCTTGTTGGCTACTCTAATTGCTCAGCTACGCAGCTAAAATTATTCAAATTTTTCCTTAGAGACTTATAATAGATAAACTCATATTGATAAATCGAAAAACTCCAAAGTTTATTTCATAATTTTGCAACTTTTTCATTCATAAACGAGCATTATATAGTCGGCTATGCTCGACTTGCTACATTCTTACTTGTTGTCCATTGTAATAGTGTACTCATACGTATCTAAGACTAAGTTCAACAACAACAACAACAATAGCTACAACAACAACGACTTCGCACAGGAAACGATGCCAAAATGATGAACGAATAATTGATTGATTGAATGATTGATGACAGCCATGGAGCACAAAAAAAAAATAACAAAACAAATTAAACATTTCCAAAAAAAGAAAACAAATACGAAAATCTATTTAAATTAACATTTAACATTTTTTCAACTAGCTGTCAAATTGTTTTTTGCTATTTAATTGTTTACAATGTTTTTTTTTTTTTGGTTTCTTTTTCAACCACTTTTTTTTTGTAGTGCATTTTTTCTCATTTCCTCTTTGTCAATTTGTGAGTGTGTGTAAACACTTTTGAATTCATTTAATTAGTTGTGGGCCAATGAAAGGCAATAGACCTCGAGAGTCTGTGACATTTTGTAGAAATGCGCAGCGAGGCTTTAGAAATGCTTTCATGTTCGCCCCGCCTCGAACAACTACACTAGTGAACAAATTAACTACTTTACAGTCTAGTATTTACATTTTAGCATAGTATTTCAATGTGTGTTTTTTTTTTTCCTTTCTAGTAAACAATGTCTACGTATTTACAACTATATTTAAACAACTCTATATAAACATATATATAACTAAGTGTTTAGAATTGTGTCATATCTATTTATATATACATTAATAGATATATATATATTTTAATATCGATGGTACAACAGATGTAACTCTCTATATATTCTTAACTATAGCTCAGCAAGTCAAGGCTGTTAATGAAAGAAAAAACTGCTCCAAAAAAAAAAAAAAAAAAACATTTTAGAATCTGTCGAACTCTTTAACAGCAGTAATTACATATATATTAGTATATAGTATATAATAATCGATAAATGTTAATCGATTATTATTTAGTTAACACACACAATTAGATCATTAAGTACACACACACATACATACACACACGAACACTTTAAGAACTTATATAATACATATATAGTTGAACAGACTTAGACTTTTATCGAATATATAACTTTATATACCAACATATATATCTCTTTGATCTATTTGTTTTCTAGGAGTACTCTTAGCTCTTAACTCAGCGCACTTATGAATGTTAGTAATTGATTTATGTTTATGCCTCTCTTTTTTTCGTGCTCTCTCTTGTTTTTCATGCTCCATATTTAGATAACATCATGTGGGGTCTGGGGACATTGCCCGAAGGTAAGCATTTGCAATGCCTAGCCTAGACATAAGATCTAGCCATAAGTACTTATGGGACTTTAAATACATTTATCTAACTGATAACTCCCCTCTCTCTCTCTCTCTCTCTCTCTCTCTCTTTCTCGCAGGCTTTCCGGCAGCTGCGTATGCTGCTTATGCCGCTGGTCGCGGCTATTCGGGTTATCCCAGCTTCGGACTACCCTATCCAACTGGTAAGTCAACACTCTATCTCACTCTCCCTCTCTCTGTCTCACACACACATACATCATCACACATACCTTAACTATTTATAAATATATATGATTATTTAGTGTATCCTATGCATATGTCGTAAGCCCCGTGTGCGTATAAGACTCCGTCTGTATGTGTGTGTGCGTGAGTGTGTGTTTGAATGTATTTGGCGTGCATTTTGTGACTACTCTAAAATTAAACTAAAGCTAAAGCCTAAAGCCTCTCCCGCATTGCAATTTGTGTTAGTTGATATGACGAAAGGCCTTGTTTAACTAGTCAAACAATTAGCTATAATACATATACATATAAACATACATATATGTAACATGATTAATTAGCATAATATACTAACTACCACTCGAAGACTTTCCTTTGATATTTATATAATTTCTTGTACCCGTATCTTTCGAAATATTCGTTTTTCTTCTATGTTTCTGCTTTTCTTTTTCTTCTTACTCTATTTATTTTTTCTTTCTGGAACCTTATAGCTGGCGTTATGGGCGTAATGCCGGAGAATCGTATACTGATCGGTGATTATTTGGTCGCCCCAACGACAGCCAGCAGCACGGCCTAGAAGCAACTCTGACTCTATGATCTAAACTGATATTTTTTCGATCGAGTATTATATCAAAATCTGAACTAATAAATCTCAAACCATCTTATAACTATAAAAAGTAAAAATAAAACAAACTCTTGAGCGTTCGTCATATCAATGCACAAATCGTACTCTAAACTGAAATTAAAATCGCAAGCGAAGCAGCTCCTACGACATATTTGCATTATCTAGGCACATTCATTGATGCTGCTTGGCCTTGTGCTTTCCCACATCACGCCACACGCATACACTGTGCAAAAATCATGATCCACAAACACTTTGCTAGTACTAGAGCCACCTCGCCTCTTCATGCATTCCCATCTTTAGTTTTGGTTCTTATTATTGCGTTTTCTTTAGTTTTGCTAGGGTTGGAACGGATGTTGGCAAAACATTTGAAACTACTCAAATCCGACACTAGCCAGAGTTATCGATAAACGATACACGATTATCAGGGTAGAGAAAGCATTAGCAAACAGATTAAGAAACTTGTCCCAAAATTCACGAATGCAAATATTTGTAATATCATTCGTCCCAACCCTAGCCTAGTCACCCACTCTCTCTCTTTCTGTGTCTCTCTCCCACTCTCTCTCTCTCTTTGTCTCTACATCTTGTGTCTCATATGATTTTGTAGGCTTAACTATTTGTGGCATCGGTAGAAGTTATGGTACCACATGTAGCACGAATCCGGGCCGCAGCAGAGCCGCCAATTGCACCGCTGGCGGCGGTGCAGCAGCGGCTGCCGCTGCCGCTGCCGTGCACAATCAGCCCCAAACGGGATACCATCAACACCATCAAACGCTGACTTTGCCGCTGGCCACGGCGCTGACAGCGCGCACCGCCGCAATCAAATCCCAATTTCTGGGCAACATCAATTTTTAATAAATACGAAAGAAATAAAAAAAAGAAAATGCAAGAAAAAGAAAAACCCATAAAGGCCAGATAACCAGAGAGAGCGGCATAAACGACTAACGAGAACCAGTTCAAGCTAAGCGAGAGGCCGGCGATATTGTATTTAATATTTCATTTGCCATTTTGTTCTTTTTCTCTCTCTCTCCCTCTCTCTCTCTCTCGCTCTCTCGCTCTCTCGCTTGGTCTCAACGACAATACGAAAACCAAACCAGAAAAAAAGAAAGAAATTTATATAAATCATTTGTACTGTGACAAGTAGGTACAGCAACAACAACAACAACAACAACAGCAACAACATGAGCAACAACAACAACAATTGAAATTTATTAGCTTAGATTGTTTCTGGTAAAAACAAATATTGAATCTATCAACAAAACCAAAACCAAACAGAATCTAATAAAGAACTTATACAACTATTTGTAATTGCAGACCCATACATACAAACGAGAATACATATATATACATACTATATATATATATATAATCACATTTAGTGCTGCTGGCGCATATATGTGTGTACACACTGTAGCTGGCCCTCACATATATATACATATATACTATAGCGGACACTTATTAGACCTTTACTAAATACACATACTTAGCATTTGTTTGTACTGCCTAGATAGAGGAGCCCCTATAGAGCTACTAGTTACGTATACCCAATCTCTATATACACATATATCAGGCGTATCTATAGTGCAGTTCTTTCGATTTACTATATACATACATATATACTCGATACATATGTAGACCTTAGGCTAAACGTAATCGCATAAACGTGTAGAGAACCCCGTAGAGATATGACACAATACACACACACACACACACACATACACGTACACGTACATGCAGTAAACACTCCGTATATGCTACCATTTGTAATTTCCATTAATTCTCATTAAACAACTCCCATTTGGTATTATTTGTAAAAAAAATAAAACTATTTTACAGTTAGCGCATTTAAATGCAAATTTTTTATTTGTAGTCCATCTGCATAAATTAGTGGGAAACCCAAATGTCGACGATATACGAAAAATAAACAAATGCACACACATACACACACACACACACATAGACATACACGGATGAGAAACCCATTTAGATAAAAAGTACAACATTTTAGCAGGCCTGTCACATGTATGTGTGTGTGTAGCATCATATTATTATCCTTTAATTAATTTCCTGCATAATGTGAATTTTGTTTTTCTTTTCGCATTTTGCATTTTATTTGCATTTCGTTTCCCCTGAGTTTTTTAGATAATCAACGAACGTGCACAGATTTCTAGCAAAAGTTCATTAATTAGTTGAATTTTCAGTTCCATCTCTCTCTCTCTATCTCTCTCTATCAAATAAATGAAATCCTTCTAACTCTATTCATATAAACATATCCATATACAAACATTTATCGCATATCCTGCATACAAATTCCTTCATCGTTGTTGCATCTGAAACTGAAACTGAATCAACAACAACAACAACAACAAAAATTTCTACCAAAAATGAGCGAAAAACAAGTTTTTATTGAAAATCTCTATATATGAATAAAACATTAACTATATACATATATATATATACACACACATTTATATTATATCTAAAAGAAAACGTTTATATATCTAAAAATAAGTTTAAAAATATTTCTTTTATACACAACAAAAGAAAAATCAAATCAAAATCTAATTTCATTTGTACAATAATATTAATAATGATAATGGAAAAAAATCAATTTTTAAATATGACAACAACAACAAAAAATCAAACAAAAATGAAATACAATATTAATGTCCATCCATTTTCGAAGAGCAAAGTTTAAGTTTGATGAAAAATGCAATTTTTCTAATGTCCTTTCCATTAATGTAAGTTCGTTTACTTAGCTACCAATACACATATACACGTATACACACAAAAGAAACAAATACACAGGCAGAAAAGCTGTTAATTAGTTAATTGAATGCAACAAGATTTTTGGCAAAATTATAATATGAATTATGAAACAAAAGGACAAAGCAGCAAAAACTGCTTGAAGGTATCTTAACTTATATATACATACATACATATATATATAAAATGCTTGCAAGTTATTTATTAACAAACACACACACACACATGCATAACTAACTACTTATATAACACACATACACACTCACACACACACACGCATATCTATGTATTTTACACGTATATACTGTGATTTATAAGAAAACGCTTCAAACCAAAAACAAAAGCAAACCAAGAAGATGAAACAAAAATTTGCCAAACGCATAATTCGAAATTGCTTATGCAACAAAAAAAAAAAAAAAAAAAAAAGTTATTAACTAAATAAATGCACAAAAAAATGGAAATAAAATCCGCAAAAAAAAAAAAACAAAGCCAAGTTTATGATTTTTTAGCCTTAGCTCTTTAGACTTATTAGTGTTTGAAAGCGAAAAGCAGCAAGCAAATGGATCAACGAGGCGTATGCGCAATATGCAGCAGAGGCAGCAGTAACTGATGAAGAAGAAGAAGAAGCAGCTGAAGATGCGCCACAACTGCCAACAAGGTCAGCTAAAAATGGTCAAAAACTGCATAATCCCACAGCATAATCTCTCTTTATATATATATACTCTCTCTCTCTCTATCTCTCTCTCTCTATAAACATATATATTTGTACGCAAACACATTTTCCAATTATTAAATGTAATGTTAGTTTGTTAATTGATTATATTTAGCTGAAATCTTAGTGAACAAAAAATAAATAAATTACTAAATTATGGGCAATTGAAACTCAAATTGTAAACTGCTTGCGCGGCGGCAGTACAGTAGCTCTCATATGTATTCTCATACCTTCTAGTTAGTATACATATATAAATATGTGTGTGTAGTTCTAACCAATCTAGAAACTATAACTAAACTAATAGTAGTTCATACAAGAAAATCAAAAAACCAAAAACAAACACAAAAAAAAAAATGAAATGTATTTGTAAACTAAATTTAAGCTAATTAATGTAGCAACTAGTCTTAGTCCACACTAATTTAAAAGCCAATTGTGTAGTGTTGGAAAATGGAGCAAAGTTATATAGCTCATATATCTATAGTCATAAGTAAACATATACATACTATATATATCTCTATATCTCTCTCTCTCTCTCTCTCTCTATGTTTCTCTGTATTCATATTTCTTTTGTTATTCACCTAATTTAAGCGTAGCTCTTGAAATGTGTTTTTAATCAGTTCATGTTTTGCGTTTTTGCGTGTCTCATCGACTTTGTCCTCCTCTTGCCTTAGTGTTGGTAAATCGTTCAAGTTTTGACAACGCTGCCATCTTGTTAAACAACAAACAGTGTTGTTTACCAAACCACAAGTTGAACAACTACGAAAAATACCAGCTGCTCCTGCCGGAAGCCCATAACAACAACGGCAATGGCAACAGCAACTGCAACTGCAACTGTAAAAAAAAAAAAAAAAAAAGAAAACATAGATATATAGATGAAAGTAAAAACTTATTTATTTAGAAAAAGGCAGTTACCGCTATTTCTATCTCTATAGCCAGCAGCTTTTGCCCGGTTGCTAATGAAAACAACATGGCGCTCAGAGCTTTTGCGCCACATCCCGAAAAAAATGAAAATGAAAATAGCGTAAACTAAACGTAAGCCAAACTTGATTGGCGCCACACACACACACACGCACAGGCACACGCACAGACACACGCGCACGCACACACACACAAAACACGCACAACGAGCACCATAAGCAAACGTCTGGCATAGCCACGCCTCGTTACGTTACGTCACGTTACGTTACATCAATTTTTGTGTTTCCGCAGGAAATGCAACTGCTACAATTCCAACCCCACCTCACATCGCCCCTCCTCTCTCTCTCTCTCTCTCTCTATGCGCCTTGCCCGTAATCCGTTAGCCATAACCCGTTACTTCTTAGCCCAATGTTGTCTATGCCTCCTGCCCCAACCCGTTTCCTATTCTCCCATTCCCACTGCCCACCCTCTACCCCCTTGGCCATGCCCATTCTGTTGTCATTTCAATATTGGCGCTGGCGTATTTTTACTTGCTGCAGCAGCTGTGACCGTGACAACAACAACAACAACAACAGCAACAACAATGATAACAGTAAAAGCGCCCAAAAAAGCAAAGTGCGCCGCAGCCAAGCGTTCTAACTGTATTTCGTTTCTGTGCTGCTCCACCTCCTCGTACTCCCGCCCGCCCACCATTCATAGGAACACAACAACAACATTCGTTTAATAACCCAGCAGAAACACTTTTTGTGTTATTTTCTTCTTCTTTTTTCGTGTTTTCATAACCTGCCTTCCAAGTTGGCTCTGTCGTGTAGTTCTCTTCTATGTACCCATACATCTATAACTATACTATATATAGCTCCATTAAATAACATTAGTTGTGGAATTTCGATTTGTGGGCCTCGGGTTTTTCCTTTACTCTATAATGCAGCGTTAGTTAATCGTACATATATATACTAAATAGTTTGTTTGACTTGTTTGTTCCACTTACAACATTCGCAAAGAAAAAGATAAACAACTTACATTACCTAATACTAATTATAATCGTAAAAGTTTGATTTCTCTTATATATACCTATATACCAC